AATAGTAATGTTGTGTCACTTCCTTGATTCCCGAAATTTTCAGTGCCGCCCTCGTAAGTCCTTTACACCACCACCTTTTATATCAGAGATAAATTGAGGGCGTACTTAGTACTTAGAAACCCTCTCAGAAATGAGCAGAGGCCTGTGCCCATGAGTGGGACGAATATTAAAGGCTGTTAGTTTAACTTTACTTTAGTAACTGAAATATTTAGAACAAATGTATAATGATACGAAAAAGGAAATTAAACATAAGATCATAAAATCCAAATCATCAATATCAAAATTTTCTAAATTGGGTTATAGCAAGGGCAGGCGGGTGAAATTTGCTGAAAGTAAGTGGAATGGTGATAGAATCTACAACTTGTAATACTTTAGTACAATGAAAATTTAGTAAAGAGAATACAGTTTTTTTTGTTACTAAGAAAAAATCGGTCAGGACCTTCTAGTGTACCACACAAGTATGGGACGAGGCATTCGAGAGCAGCGGGGAAGCACTTGTCGTCTTTCTTGTTGTCTTTGTCGTGACGTCCCTTGATGTCTTTCTGAGTGAACAGTCTCTCCGGGTCGTCGTCAATGGATGCTTATCCGATCCTGTGGCGATTAACGCCGGTGTTCCTCAAGGGTCCGTTCTCTCCGCAACTCTCCTCCTGCTGCATATTAATGATCTGCTAATGCCGGGTTTCTAAGAGTATGCAGACGATAGCACAGTTGTGGAGAGACACCAACCAAGTTGCCGGGCCAGTCGGGATCAAATCTAGTCTAAAAGAGAGGTTATGGTTGAGCGTGTGAATCTCACACTACAGGCAGTATCCGAATAGTGCGATGCCAATCTCGTGAGATTCAATGCCTTCAAAACAAAAGCATGTCTTTTTACCGCTAAAAGGAGCCCCTCATCCTGGCTCCTACTTTCCGGAATGTATCCTTGGAGTACATTTACCGCCTTCAGTTGTTAGTGATTGAATTTTCTGCGGACCTCAACTATCGGCGATTCATTGAGTCCAGAGCCAAAGCAGCCGCAAGGAACTTGGTGTTCTTGCAAGAGTGTAGCGGTACTTCACACCGGGGCAGCTTCTTACCTTATATAAAGCGTAAGTCCGGTCGTACATGGAGTACTACTGTCACATATGGGCTGGTGCTGCAAAATGCCACCTGGCAGCGTTAGACTCAGTGAAGAGACGTTCTAAGAGGCTGATTGGTGACCGAGATTTTCCAGTTAGACCTAGAGTTGCCAGTCTCTCAATATTCTAAAGGATGCATTTCGGAGAGTGTGCGCAGGAATTGCACGCTTTAATTCCTTCCTCTCCTTTCCACCATCGGATGACCAGGCAGTCGGCGAGTCTTCACCCCTTTGTTGTGGATATTCCACGCATTAGAACCAAACGGTTTACTTCGACCTTTTTAATGGAAATGAGGAATGCAAAGGCGTGTAATAATTTGCTGGCGTCAATTTTTCCGTCCGAACACAGTCTGGGCGTCTTCAAGGCAAAAGTTAATAGGCTTTTGTTAATCTAAGACAGTGCGATTTAAGGCTACATCATCACTTACTACCAGGTGGGATTGTGGTCAAGTACTGGCTTATAAAAAGTAAAAAAAAAACTGATTACTGGAATCAATAATCAGTTTTTTTTTTACTTTTTATCATCATTTCTACTAACGATCGACCCGGTTTCGCACGGGTAATTTTTGGATCTCGACAACACATACATATAAACCTTCCTCTTGAATCATTCTGTATAATATATTGATGAAAACTGCATCAAAATCGGTTGCGTAGTTTAAAATATCTGAGCATACAGACGACGGGAAGCGACTTTGTTTTATACTTTGTAGAGATAGCGGGTCTGTAATAAGCCCCTAATATTTTTCTGGTAATCTAAATTGAGTGTTTCTGTTATAGCATATTCTCTTCACCTACTCGTAAATACTGATTGTAGGTATCGATATAAGGAGGATATAATGTACTCTGTGAGGTGGATTTGCCCTCGGTAGGCGGATTGTCGGTCACAATACTAGACGTTTTGCGCCTTTGTTATGCTTCATATGGGTTATGGGCGGTCTGTGATATTACATTTATACGTGGTAGAGTCATGCTGCAGTTATATTAGTAGTATAGTTGTAGCACGAATGGGTCGGTTCAACCGGGGAAGAACAACGCTCTGGCAGAATACCAGAGTAAAATGTGTAGTAGCTTAATACTTCTGTGTTTCGTGTGGTGAGTGTAGAGAACCGGAGCCCCTTTTTACCGGAAACGAGGCGATCTTAGTTCTCACGGGTGACAACGCATCTGCATTTTGATTCGTAATCGAGGATATATGTAGGTGCCTATGGGCCACAGCAACCATTTACCATCAGGTAGACTGTGTGCTCGTTTGTCACCATATCCTATAAAAAAGATGGTTGGTTATACCGCCATCTTTCAGATCTTTTTTAGCATTTACCATAATCGTTTACACACCGCCCCAACATGTTAAGTTTTAATTATGTAGTTAACTCAGTATTATCTGAGAAATAAAAATATTTAAAGCATAGCCAATAAATGTATTCAGGCACCGGTCATTGATCTGAATGCAAATTTTTGTCGATTGCCATAAATAGAATCGAACGGAGGAGTCTTCTCCGTTTGATTCTCTCCATGCAGTTGGTAAATGAAGTTAAAGCATATTTAAATAATATGTATGTATTAACTGCCGTGCAACCTATGTATGTTTGTAAAGTTAATACTTATATGGTAATAGTAATAGTTCTCATAACAGAAGTAACAATTTATAAAGTATGACTCATTTTTAAGATCATGATCATCATAAGTTGGAATTGAAAGTTTGTCAGATATCTCCAGATTCTTAGTAGATTATTAAATAAGTAAAATAGGGAAGAATTGCTATATTGCGGGCTAATTTGAAGCCTTTTATTTTAGAAAATAAATAAATTACTGTATATTGAAACTAATGTTTATTTTAAAGACATCCTAATTATACTCAACCCGGAAAGCTGAAAAATGAATATCGTTCTTTGTTTGCATAGTATCGTGCGTTGAAACGTATTATTATATTTGTAAATATTAAAATAAAGAATTTTGAATGAAATATCTGCATTGATCATAATTATCACTCAATATTTTTTCTTAGTAACTCACGAGGAAAATTATTCCTATTCCATTTCATTGCGTGTGTTTCAGTGACTATTTTTAAAATAATATAAGCGCTTCAATTACCAAGTTCTCTAAATTCTTTAGTGTTTTATGAATGAACTAGCAATCGTTCCAAAATAAGACTAATTACGTAGAAACTGAAAACTGTGGGAAGGTACAAAGTTCGTGGCGGAGAATTTCTGTCACAGGCAAAGTTACTCAATATGTCACGAGCTTGTATAAAAAGGAGACAATTATACTAAGACGTAGAATAAAATAGCAATAGTCGTGAAACGCATGATATTTTTAGAAGTTTAGACTCAGATTGTTGTTGTGAATTGGCATGCGCCGCCAATGACGTCTGGGTATGCCTCAGGCTGCTGCAATTGTGACCGCTAACACGTTAAAATTTGGATCTACCATATTAATTGTTTACTAAAAAAGATGAAATAAAGAATTTATATTTCTATATCTTAGAGAGTGCACGCATTAACAAAGTATTTACGTGTATTATTGCTTCGAAAACTTTAAGCCTCATAACGAGGCTCACGTTTTGTAATCATAACATGTTGAGGGTCAAGGCATAATAATACTCGTACTCGTCTCGTTAGTACCTGAGTTAAACTCATGACCCGAATGCACTTTAGCGCTTGATATATTGTTAGTAACAATATTTGAATTATGTGTCTGATGCGCTACAGAAACAATCAGCTTTCCCTTGTGGCCGAATGTTCTAAAATTTATATGTGCTATTGTAATCGGTACTTTCTAGATATCTACTTCGAACAGGGCAACATCGTCGTGGGACCTTTGAATTTGTGTTATATTTTGGTATAGTGAAGATGTTTAATTATCAAAAGTGATTGATACAAATTGTTACAAATTTATTATGATATCTATTAAGTGTAAAGAATCTGTTCGTCGGTATATCATCATCATCATCATCACCATTACAGCCCTTCACAAGTCCACTGCTGAACCACTAAGCACGGTGCTGAGCCACCTGCATCCATCGACTTCCTGCATGTCGTACCAGGTCGTCACCCCATCTAGTGGGGTGTCGCCCTACACTTCACCTACCGGCACGAGGCTGCCACTCGAGAACCTTTTTTCCCCAATGGTTGTCGGTTCTTCGAGTTATATGGCCGGCCCATTGCCACTTCAGCTTATTAATCGGTCACTCTAGTTCTACTGCGGATATCGTCATTTCACGCAGAGAAACCTCAAGCATATAATTATCAGTGTAAATTATCCATTAATTTTTTACTACATCACGAGTATATCCAAAAATAATTTATGAAACCGTTAATATGACGTACGTTTACTGTAAATAAAATTAGGCCCACTCGTAAATATGGAAATGGAGTGAGTAATAAAATTCCAGAGGCTCTTGTCCTTCGAGTCACTGACATTGGATTAAATTTAAATGAAGACGTCAGTTCATAAACCCAAATATTAATCTGACCTGGATTAACCTATGAATTTTTTGGTTTTTGAAAGAGTACCATTATATGTTTTATTGTTTGTATCATTCAGGTATGGATTTGAAGTTAGCTATCAAAATAAAAATAAATTACTGCAATTGGCACGTTCAAAGAAAACATAATAAAACGATTTCGTCTGCGCATGCGCCGCCCGCCCAAAGGAAAATCATATTTACGCATTCGTGTTTCAGACTTCATGTGATACAGAACTACTTCCAGTGAAGCTGTGTTTTAAAATAATAAATAAACTTTTACGTATATTATAATACAAGCTATAGTTTTCTTTTCAAGAAGTGTGTAGTGAAACTGTAAAAGAAAATTTTAATATGGGTATGATTTCACGTGTGCGGGGCCGAATCAGAAGTGATTCTTTCTCGAAGATTCATACGATGAAATCGGAAGATAAAATCGCTAACATTGGTAAGAAAATAGAAATGCATAATTTTTGATGGAAGTTAAAGCGCAACGTTACTGTGCGTAAATTTTACATCATTATTAAATTTTTGTAAAATTTTATTTGAATATGATTTAGTTAGTGCTGTAGTCTTTTGTGTATATATGTGTATGCGATATTTATAGATTTGATGTTTCAATCGTTTCTGTGTTTGAAAGCATCACTGGGTGTCGCGATTCCAGCAAACAATTAAATGAAAAATATTTTTCACAATCTAGGAACATTAGCCTACAGTTTGCCTATAGATATAAATAAGTATAAAAATGCATTTGAAACAGATTACTAAGGTTTAGCGAAAAACATTGTAGTTTAACAACAATATCGTCGCATGTACTTTATTATTATTTTTTTCATTTTTGAGATCCATTTGAACGTTTTAAATTGTTGTTTTTAAGAATAACAAGAAAATTTTTGCTTAATAAAAGGAAAAATATAATTACATAAAATTTATTAGGTATCACATGTGCATTAAAGACTCTTTAGATGTTCTCTTTACTACTATTTCTACCCAAAGCTGTCTTGAAGCGTAAACTTTCAAATAAAAATATTTGAATAATTTTTATGGACGAAAAACTGAAGTTATTTCTTGTTCGATCATAGAAAATCGTTGTTTGATCATAGAAATACCATGTAGGTATAAAAAATATTATTCAACAACGCGTTTTCAGTCGTTTGGTTCACACTTGGGTTATTTGATTTTATAGTTTGTAACACCGTTAATGCTTAGAGCAAGGGTTCCAAAAAGCGGTTCAATAAGTCTACGCCACGGCGCGGTGGCGCCCTGGTACGCGTAGAGAGTAAACGGAGGCGCCGTGAGACGCTCCTGTTGACCATTTTCCGGAAATTAAACTTTGTATTCGCGGGTACAAAATAAACCGGTTTTTCCACTGTAGATATAATAAGAACAAATATCGCTCTAAGATCAAGAGTAGAGTAACGGTGTCAAGCCTTTACCCATGCTTTAAAAAATTTGGGAGATTAGCTCACACGTTATATTGATTAGGTTGCCTTTGTGTTTTATTTCCTAGTTCAAAAAACTCTACTAATCATTGTACCCTATTTCGACTAGCTATTGCGCAGAGACAAAATACTATACCTGTTAGTGCGCCGCGAACTGAAAACGTTTGGAAAACCCTGGCTTAGTAATACCTAAGCATAGCTTGCTTATGTACATACTCTAATCAGTTAACGGTTTTTTTATAGAATAAACACAAACAAACGAGCACGCAGTCCACCTGATGTTAAGTGGATGCTGTGGTCAATAGACATTTTCATTTAGTATCAGAAAGCAGATGCGTTGTCATCCCCAAACACTAAGATCGAATGCCTCGTTACCAGTAAAAAGAATCTCCAATTCTCTACACTCACCATACAATACACAGCAGCAATATTCATCTGCTTCAGGCTGGTATTCTATGAGAGTTTAGTTCTACGTGCTGTAGCTCGTATCGCATGCCTACAACGTGGCTTTACCACGTGAAGTCCACTTCAACGGACCGTAACGGTAAACGAAGCGTTTCTTGAATATAAAAACGGGTGTAAGTCTTTAGATTAGTGACAGAGATTTATCTTTTTTTTTAAATAAACCGATATATTATACTAGCGCAACAATAATTTTAATCCTCTAGATTTTTACAGGCTGATAAATAAAAAGTGTATATAATATTATATATTCATAACATAACAAAATGTACGATATAGAAGAATTGAAATTATAATGATTTTTTTACCCCAAAAGTGATAATTTGCGTTCGAACATTGGGCCGAATGCGAATTTCGAAATTAAGCTCTAGGGTACTCGTACTTTTGAAATTCTTTAGAAATGGGCAATCCATACATAGTCTTGTTTTTTCTAGTGTGGTTATTTTCATTGGTGCTGTTGCTGCCGTATTGGGCGCCAAGAGGTCTCCTGGTGGCGTTGGGTGGCGCGTGGCTAATGGCAGCATATACCTGTTTAGTGGTGCCCGTTCTAATATCAGCAAACTATCACTATCCAGCGAGATGGTATCCCGCTGTAGCGAGACTTGCACAAGGTATGAACATTTTTGAAAAGACTTAAAATAACACTTATAATGAATCATCATAAACATATAAACGTAAACACTCACGCCTGTCACCCAGAGGGGTAGGCAGAGACTACAGACTTCCATTTGGCACGATCCTGACACACCTCTCTCGCCTCCTTCACATCCATACACCTACGCATGCATGCTCGTCGGTTAAGGGTACTCCTAATTTGGCCCGTTTTCAATAAATCGCCAATTTGGTCGATAAATTTTCGCCTAGGACGTCCCTTTCCGACTCTGCCATTCACTTCTGCAACATAAATTTTCTTTGTCACTCTTTCCTCATCCATTCCTTCCACAAGAACAAACCACCCAAGGCACTCCTTTCTTAATCCTGGTTACAACATCATCTTGTACACCACACTCTTCTCTTATCACAATATTTTTCACCCTGTCATTCAGATTCAGTCCTAACATACTCCTTAACGACCGCATTTCTACTGCATTTATTCTACTCTCGTGCTTCTTCTGCCATACCCAACTTTCACTACCATACGTTAAAGTAGGGACCAACACAGCATTGTGAATTGCCATACGTGCCTTTTTTGACACATTTTGACTCTTCACAATAGAGTGCAGAGCTCCATTTACTCTGTTTCCTGCGTTCACTCGTCGTTCTATATCCTTATCATATCTCCCATCCCTGCTAAATACGCAACCCAAATATACAAACTCATCTACTTGCTCGATCAACTCCCCTTCTATTCTTATTTCACATATCGTTTTACTTTCTTCTCTTTCAAAAACCATAATTTTTGTCTTACTTGCGTTCACTTTCATACCCCTTTCTTTTAATGATCTGTTCATTAATGTAATCATCATTTGCAACTCAGCCGCCGACGACGCAAGAATAACTTGATCATCGGCGTACAAATATAATAATATTATAATGAATCAATCAAAAAAAAAAAACAATCAAAAATCAATCATTATAAAAGTGATATTTTTTTAATTTCTAATATATGTACATAATTCTTTTCATTGATCCAATGATATGTCACGCCAAATCATTTTTATTAAAAACTGGTTGGTGTGCGATGGGTTTTATTTCAACATATACACTTTTATATAGATCTATCATATTTATCAATCTTCTTTAACACAACAGCAGATAAAAAGTTGCCTATATGTAGGGCTGCCATCCGTCCGGGTTTCCCCGGATTTGTGTCATCGTTTGGAAGACGTCCGGGGTGCAACCCGGACTACAATAAAAGTCCGGGTTTTCGATCAGATCCCATTTAATATTATTAACTGAGTAACTAATATTGGGTTTGTTTATCTTTTATTTAGAAGGTTGAAAAATAAAGCAAAAAATCAAGTACGGAGTAAAATATATTTTAATCAAGATGTAAGTGAATGAAAAAAGTATTGAAATGTCCGGGGCGAAAGCTCCAAAATCAGGTTTTAGAGATGGCAGCCCTACCTATATGTTATAACGGTCATTTACTGCCTACATACACAATTTTATGGAAATTCGTCTAGTAGTTTTTCCGTGAATCAATTTTTCTACAGATTTATTATATCTATATAGATATTGAAGACTAACCTAGTAAATAATTGAATTTACGTAAAAACAAAGGATCCTATTGCTGTGATCTTTTATTACTGATATTATATCTCTGTTAATACCGATATTGTACGGTTATCAACCAAACGCTTATGGCTTGCAATCGTTATATTTATTACACCCTATCGAAACTCTACTGCTAATCATCAGCCCCTGGATATTTGCCACTTGCAATGCCACGCTTAGCAGGAGAGATTTTATTTTATTTTAATTTATTATAACGTTGGGGAAGATGCCCGTTTTTGTCGTCTATGGGTATTTGTATTATAAAATCTAGTCCATGACACTCCTTAGGCAAATCCAAGTACGTCAACCCATTTCGGCTACAAGAGGTCACGAAGAAACATAATATATATATATATATATATATATATATATATATATATATATATATATATATATATATATATATATATAAATTACGTGTCGCGTTATTTGTCCTCGATGGACTCCTAAACTACATAACCGATTTTAATCAAATTTGCACACCGTGTGCAGTTTGGTCCACCTTGAAGATAGGATAGTTTTTTTTGCCCATGAGTGACCCATAATTTTTTTTTGCATTAAATTTCGTTCATTTTCAATTAGACATGAAGGAAACAGAAACAGAAACTTTTTTATTCAATGTAGATTATAAACAATACTTATTGAAAGTACTTTTTTTCATTTACCACTGGTTCGCAAAAAAAACTTTGTCCTGGGAAGAACCAGCAAGAAACCCAGCGGGACTATTTTTTTTTCCAATAATAGCTTACAATAATGTTTACATTAAACAACACAAGACAAATTAGAAATAGCTTGGTAGCGATCACCCTTCCCAGGGGTTATTATCACCGATAAATTCCTTAATATTATAATAACCCTTTTTATACAAACTTAGTTTAATAATATTTTTGAACTTCGTGTATGATAAATTTTGTATATTTTCTGGGATTTTGTTGTAAAAGCGTATACATCGCCCCAAGAATGAATTACTGACTCGGTGGAGTCAAGTAACTGGTACTACTAGCTTGTGTCTGTTCCTAGTATTTACAGAATGAATATCACTTATTTTCGCAAAACTACTTTTATTTTTGTGTACGTACATTACATTTTCATAAATGTATTGAGAGGCCAGAGTTAATATATTAATTTCCTTAAATTTTTGTCTCAGTGACTCTTTTGGTTTTAAATTATATATTCCTCTAATGGCCCTCTTGGGGTCATCGAAAAAGACAGAACAACGTCTGCATGGCAAGCTAGTATATATATATATATATATATATATATATATATATATATATATATATATATATATATATATATACATATACATATACACCCGAATAACCCAACTTCTGAACAGTAGAGTAACAAAGGAGTTTGCCAAATCGACTTTCCCTTTTGACACGCTAAACGACCTCCGTCGTTTGCCAGATCATTGAATAGAATAACTGCAAATAGTGTCTATTTGTGATTGGACAGCCATTTATATTTACTATAACTTTAATAAATAAATTCAGTAGCAACACTGACGAATAGTTACTTTGAAAAATAACCGTTACTGCTGCTTAAAAATTTACATCGGAAATATTTATCAAAAATCCCTGCCTTGATTTTATATAACAGTTGTTTTAATACGTGAATACTAAATCCCGACACGTACAGACTATTAGATTGAAAAGACGAAATAATTTTAATACGTTGCTTGTTATTGTTTTTGCACCACGTTTTTTCCAACGAAAAATAATGTGAGGCGCATTTGAAAATAATGAATGAGCCAAAGCAATGCCTTTAATCTCGTTCTCGCATTTTATTTATGCTATCTCGGCCACGTGCACAGGGATGTGCTAGATCTCCTTTTATTATTTTTTGTAAACTAGTGTCATCGTGATCCGCCCCGACTTGGCTTGGTACGGGTGATTTCTGGATCTCTAAAACCGCGCCAACCGGGTCAAAATGTGAATCTAAACCATAGAATACTATAATACATATATAATAGAACGGGGGAGTGGGCGGGGCCCATGTAGCCACATATTTGTCAACAACATGTCAATTCACACGTATAAATGTCAACACGAGATGACTTTTGACGTAACAATCGTTTACAAATTTCGCATGCAAATTATTTAGAAAATACCAAATTGCACACTATTTACATATTAAAATTTATATATTAAAATTTAAACGATTTTTTTGATGATTTTGAACATTAATCAAAAGTCTAAAATGTGTAAATTTACTCAGTCTGTCAATACAGAGAATCGGGTTTGTAGTAGTGATAATACGACGTAATTGCTTGTATATGTGCTCCCGGCGACACCGAACCTCGTACAAAATAAGGTTGACAGCCATTCTATTGTGTATTAAAGTATTCTATGATCTAAACCATCCAGGGATCCAAACACACACAAAAAAATTCGTTAAAATCTGTCGAGCTATTTTCGAGTTTTAACGGAGACTAACGGACAACTATTCATTTTTTTTAAAAGAGAAGATTTTGTAATCCAAAAATAATTATGAATGATTTTTAAAAACTTTACGAAGCAACTACTATTTAACACAGCACTCTCCCTCTTGTGTTTACTTTTCAAATGACTGTACGATTTTTAAGATTGAATACATTGTAGGACATAACAGGCTTTTGGTAAAAATTCTTAAACTGTGTACTGCTTCGGCTTCAATAGAAAAGATGGACCTTGCATTTGATCTGATTTGCAATCATCAGATATGTTCGATCTTCGCCAAACTTATTTAGTGTACTTAATATAAATTTAAAAAATGCGCGTCATTTGTTTTGTTGTGTATTAACCAGGCTTTAGAAGATTCGTCAAAATAGTGTTTGCTTGTGACGCTCCCATCTCAGTTATGTTTATTTACCTACTCGCCATTTCAGTTTGTCAGGTCATTGTCGGAGCGGCGCTGAATGAGGCAACGGAAGCTGGCTCACAGCCAATGGGTGTGCGTCATTGGATCATACTTTTCTGAATCTAAACAAAAACATGTGAAGACGCACAACGTGGGTTATCCCGATGATATTTTTTTATGTTTGCTTATGCGCCGTTGTAGAAATCTAGTTATGCAGTCCCGTATGTTGATTCGAATTCGTTTTAAATCGAATAATAGTATGTATAGTGTAGTATATAAATAAAAAAAAAAAAAAAATATATATATATATATATATATAGAGTATGTATAGTGGGGGTAAAAATAGGGGCAATAATTTACAAAACAGGTTGTGTACATGAAGTTTAACCACTCGGTTGCGAAGTGGGTCATACATACGTTGCGGCTCTGCGTACCAGAGCCGGTAAGTTCGAATCCATATGTGACTGAATAGCCTACAAATAATTATTGTTTCGGATCCGAATGTCTGTTTACGCAAAGATTTAAATCTTTGTGTTTACGTACAATTAACATA